ATGGATGGATGGACAGATGGATGGATGGATGGATGGATGGATGAATGAATGGTTGGACAGATGGATGAATGGTTGGATGGTTGGATGGATGGATGGATGGATGGATGGATGGTGTTTTACTAACACAATTAGTGAAACATTAATGACATCAATAGAAACGCATGTAAAACAATAAACTCGTCAATCAAAATGAAAATCTCCTTTGGCAGCTAAAAGTGTTTTTCCATGGAAACACAAGCAGAAGCGATGAGTGTGTGAGTGCTGGACACGAAGGAGCCGAGTGTGAGACAACATGAAGACAAGTCATTAAGCTTGTCCCTTCCTGGTTAATAAGGAGTCGTTTGGCACGAGTCGGTGAAGACGTGCGTTTGGCACGAGTCGTGTGATCCTCGGGCGTCCGGACTGGAGAACCGGCTCAGCAGTTTAACTCGACGCAGCCTTAGAGGCATCGTGTTGTATTATTCATCACCCGGTGGAAAGACACAGTTTAAGAGCGTTTTCACAGTTTTAATGGCACGGCTTTGTATTTGAGGGTCCAAATATTCATCCGTGCTGTTAAAAATAAATAAATTAGTCACTGGTCGTTTTTCCAGACACCGCTTGTAACGGTTGGTCAGGATTAATGCGCTCGCTCACATCACTCCATTATCCTGGTAAATGTGACGAATCATCCTTTAATTTTTAATGTGGGATGTCTTTTTATGTCATTTTGATCGAGTTCAGACGTCACTGATGAGACCTGGTGACGTTACGTGAGCAGGTCGCAGCGCAGAGTTCAAGACGTGGGTCTCGCAGGTGACCTCACCTGAACTCTGAGCGAGCGTGGCACGGCCCGAGCTGTCTTTTGAAATGTTGAGTCGGTGCTAACAGAAATTTAAAGACTGCAAATAGCAAGCTGCCAGAGAACACAGAGAGGAGCAAAGATGCAGGGACACGAGCAGCTGGACTGTGGGAGGCTTCGAGCTTTTACTTTGGTGAGTTGAGGCCACAGTTCATTTAAACACCTTCGTGCTCTTCAGATCAAATGAAGGGTTAAGGCCTCGTTGTTAAAGGTCCTGAAAGATACAGATTCATACATCGATCCTTTTGTACCATAAAAATAATCGATTACGCCTCTGCTGCACATTTTGTTTTTCTTTTCCATTATATGTATTGTTTGTTTTTGTGCAAACAATAAAATAACTAAACTAAAAAAACCAACAACCTGCAACACTGCTTTTATTTATTTATTCTTGTCCATTGTGTATTTTTATTTACAGAGTTTAATAATAATTACTTGTTTAAAAAATCCTTAAGAACATGTACACTTAAAAATAATTTATCTGATACAAGCTTTTATTTATTTATTTTTATGGCTCTTTATAATTGAGGGCACTCGAGTGATTTTTATTTATTTGTTTTGCCCATTATGTATTTTTATTTAGAGTTTAGCAATGGCTTGACTTAAATAAAATCTATTTGGACAATTCTTAGAACATGTTAAAAGTAACATGTAGAAGATCTTCCTCACTTGAAAACCACGTGCTGCCGTGAGTCGGGAGAGCAGCTGATGGTGAAACTTCATTTTCAGACGTGGTCGTTGATTATGGCTTTTAAAAGCAGCCAGGACCAACAGAACAACCAGTTTATCTCTAAATGTTTCTTTAGTTGGAGCAAATCTAACAACTCAGAAAAAAATAATGAAACTAAAAGAGCACATTTGAATTCTGCCTCTTTTATTAAATCATCTCGTTGTCATTCAGGGGAATCTTACTGCTCTTAGAATAAATGATAACAGTCTAATAATTATGTTTCAGCTCTTATTAAAAACCGTGTCTCGGCAAAATTCATTCTCACCCAGGACTTTTATCTAAAGTGGAAAGAAAAACTGCAATATATGACGTGTGTTTATTTATATAAAGCTGTTTTTATGACCTTTTTAGTTAAACTATATTTCCTGTGACTTTTGCTTTAATTCCTGGTAAAAAGAGCTGCGTATTGTGAGATGGATTAGAAATGTCTTTTCTTCTGCACGTGTCCAACAAAGGATGCACAGACTTCAGCATGTGAGCACTTGTGCCACTATCTGACCCTGACAGTCTGCCATTCACAGCGAGCTTTGTGGAGGTGAGGGGGGGGGGCAGGCGCAGTAATTCTCTCTGGCTCTTTATCTTCGCTCCATTCTTGACACAACATCTGTCACTTTTAAGATCGGAGCTATACACACTCATCTTCTTCCATGTTTATTGACACTCCAGAACATTCGTATGATAAAAAGACATGACATATTTTAAATGTGGGATTAAAAACACGTTGTTTTTACCGCCTGTCTATAATGACAAGGTGGCAGTTGGATGTTTGTACTAACCAAATGGTTTCGTGCATTCCAGGTGATTTTGGAGTGGCCCACAGATCTGGCAGTTAGCCCCATGGACAACTCTCTTTATGTCCTCGACAGCAACATTGTGCTGCACATCACAGAAAACGGTCAAGTGAGTATTGCGGTGGGCCGACCCATTCACTGTCCATTGGCTGGACCGGAGCGTGGCACGGCTGGCGGTCAGAGAGCGCACTTGACTCCACTAGAATCTGCTGTTTCTATTGCCATATCGTACCACGGTGCCATTTACATAGCAGAGACAGATGAGAGGAAGATGAGCAGGATCCGGAAGATTTCTGTGGATGGCGAGATAACACATTTGGCTGGAGCACTCTCCGACTGCGACTGCAAGAACGATGCCAACTGCGACTGTTACCAGACAGGAGATGGCTATGCCAAAGATGCAAGGCTGAATGGTCCGTCTTCATTAGTGGCAGCTCCAGATGGGACTCTCTACGTGGCGGACCTGGGGAATATCCGCATCCGCGCCATCTCAAGAAACGGGCCAACTTTGACTTCCAGTGGCAGCGCATACGAAGTGGCCTCCCCTGACGCCCAAGAACTGTACATGTTTGACATGAACGGTACCCACCAACACACCGCGAGCTTGCTCACTGGCGACCTGAAGTCCACCTTTAGCTACAGCACAGAGAACGACATCACAGCTGTCACTGACAGCAGCGGCAACACTCTGAGAATCCGCAGAGATGCTAATCGTATGCCCGTGCGCATCGTCGCCCCTGACAACCAGGTGATCTGGCTGACGATGGGGACCAACAGTGGTCTGAAGACTCTCACGGCGCAGGGTCAGGAGCTCGTGCTGCTCACCTACCACGGCAACAACGGCCTGCTTGCTACTAAAACATCAGAGATCGGCTGGACAACTTTCTACGAGTAAGTATAATTAACATTGGCAGGATATTATTCTGTGGAACTGTTTCTATCATTTGACAACGTCTAATTGATTTAGGTTTCATATTATTTAGGCCTTCTCATTATGGAAACAGCCCACAGTGCAAATTAAAACACACCTCCCACTTTGTGCATACTAATACAAACTGTGTAAACAGATGTAATTTGTGCTTAGGCAGATAAGATTATGTAAAGGAATGAAGAAGTGCACCGCTCTCTCTGGAATGAGAAAGCAATATTAACAACCTCGCAGTTGAAAAACTAATAGTTTTTTTGTTGTTCTTGTTTTGGCTTATAACCTGTCATTATTATTAATACTGCTATAGCTGATGCTGCATTCCATTTTTATTTCAGACCACATGTTATTGGCACAGACAAAAAAAATGTTAATGACTTTTTGTCATACATTTGTTCATTATAGTCTCGCCGCAGTACAAGTTTATCCAATTAAGGGTAACAATACTTACCTACAAATTGCTCAAGGGTGCATATTTAATTGAAGTCTAAATATAAAATTTGCCTTAGATCTGTAAAATAGCCTAGTTAGACTTAAATAAAGTACGCTGCATTTGTTCTTTTTTGTTTCTGTTACCTGACTTGTGCTGGCTATGACCAAACATGAAGGTAAGAAAGTAAAACAATAATCAGACAGACCTTATAATGAAAAAAAAACTTAATTCATCTGCCAACTTGTTTTGCTAACATAACCTCCCTGTGATTGATTTCTTCACTCGTCTGTCATTCCCCGTCATGTCCCATTACGCCGTGCATGATATTCTCACTGCAACAATAACAACGAAGCCGTCAGATGTGATTAGACTGACACATCAATCATTAAAAATGAATTCATTACAAGTCTTTTTTTGTGTGTAACTAAATAATAGCTGATGTGTCACTCACTCATATTAAATATTTGGATTGTGTCGAAGCCATTTTTACAGCCATCCTTCCACTCGTGCTCGAGAAGTGGAAGATATCCAGGAAAGAAAATGTGACATTTTAATTACAAGAAAGTCGGAGGTCTCACTCGAGTACAGAGGAGTTGATAATTGAATGAATCGTAGCTCTGGGAGCCCTCATACATATAAATGCTTTGTCGTTTGATTGTTCTTTCTGTCAAACAGCTATGACAGTGAAGGTCGGCTAATGAATGTGACGTTCCCCACTGGGATGGTGAACAACCTGTACACAGATATCTACAGCGCTTTGATGGTGGACATCGAAAGCTCCTTGACGGAGGAGGAAATCAGCATCACGACGAATACCTCCAGCGTTCGTGCCTTCTACACTCTGGCTCAGGGTAAGGCCTCGTGCTAATCTGAACGGAGCAGCTGTTATTTGTCATTGTTTCAAGGGTCTGCGGGGCGATGTTGAGTAAGCCAAAGTCGTGTATCATTACAACTCAGAGGGCTGGACAGTGCAAATGATTACTCTGTGGGTGTGTGGGCTGCATGTCAGAGTCAGGGAGACGCATCAACCTTGTTACTAAGTGGTTTATACTCCGTCCCACGGCCAGATGCTCCAATTATTTCTTCACATCATTCATGCTCCGTCCGTCTTTCAGCTGTAAATTGTCTAATTTATGATAATAAACAATTTGTGCTTATTCAAATACAGGTATAGGTATATATAGTACAGGTAGTAAGTAGTCATTTATTGCAAATTTATATATATATGTGTGTGTATATACTGTGTAT